GTTTTTTTCTTTCTCTTTGACATATCTAATAGTACCGTTTGTTTGAACACCAAATTGAACTATGCATCTTATCATCCACTTATTTTTAAGAAAAAATTTATTAATTGATTGATAAATTCAGTATATTAATGAGTAGAAATGATCAAAATCAATTGATTTATTTATCAATAAAAAATGCCGACTATTAATAGACAAATAGTTGACCCGTTTATCGATCAATCGATCGATTGATTGATTGATTAATTGAATGATTGACAATTAATACTGTAAAAATTATTACGTACACATACAAATAACAACAGCAGCCAAAAAAATGGTTTGGTGATGAAATTATAAAGTAATTTTTTTTGGATTGCCTAGTTTATCATCATCATGATTGTGCTTAATAAATAATGATAATCATAATTTGATGATATCAATCGCGGCTTTTTTTGATCTCTATTTTTTTTATTTTTAATCAGGAATAGAAAATAGAATAAAATTTCTGGTTTTTTTTTGTCGATTGCTGCTGTTGGATGAGTTTCTGTTGTTGTTGTTTTTGTTATTTTTACTTGGCTTACCGTTATCAAGGGTAATCAATATATTTATAGATGACAAATTTATTAGCTGCTGACTTTTTTTCAAATAAATTTTCATTTTTTAATCTAACAATTTATTGTAGTTGTTGTTGAAATTAAAAATTTTCGATGTAGATTTTTGTTTCAAAATGAATCAATTTTTAGTTTCAGAATGATTTAGTTAATCTGATGAAATAGTTTTTATTTCTGTCATAAATTGTATGACAATTAAATGATTTGATTCATCACCATTGCCATGTTTTTTATGATGATCATATAGAATGATAATGATGCCAAACAAACAAAAAAACAACTAATTGTCGGTAACCAGCAGCCACCCAACTTTAAATAACAAAATTGATTCTAATAAATTATAATTATCATCATCATCATAATTATCAAATTGAAATCGAATTGCATCATATAAAATAAAAATATTACTTTGGGTGTTTGTTTGATGATAGCTTCTGCTATCATCATCTTAAACATTAATTTATATCCACTAGATTTCTGTTTGATTTTTAATGGTCGGAAATTTTTCTTTGAAGTTTCACCAACATCACTAGTGTTTGTTGATAACAAAATAAAGTTAAAAAGAAAAAAATCACAATAAATATTATGTTGTTGGCCAAACATAACCATAAAGATCATGCTAGTGTAATCCAAACATTTAATTTATATTTGTGTTTGTGTGTGTCCAAACATTTTTTCCATCAAAAAATGATGAATTCCATAATGTTGATGATCATGGAAAAAATGTCGAAAAGGAAATAGAAATCTATGATTTTTATCGTTTTTTTTTCACTGTTTTTGGCGTCATAATTATCATCATCACTAATTATGTCGAGTTTAGATTTGTTATTATAAACATATTCATGACAGTATTTATATTACTTTTTTGATGATGATGTGATTTCTCGCATATCAAGATCGAAAAATATATTTTGTTAATAATAATAAACAATATTTATCAAATAAAAGAAAAAAAACTGAAAAATTGATTATCAATCATTCATCAATGAATGCATATGTATAAATCAATTAGCATTTTGAATGTGATAAAAATTGATGTGACAAAAAAAAAATTTGATATCAAAACATGTGTGTATATGTATAACCTAGGCACATAATAATTATTCTAATTTAATTAATATTGATAAACAAAACATCCATATATTCGACTACTGCAATTTGATTGATTATTGCTTGAAATACACAACAATATCAACAATTCTTATACATTACATGTGTATGATGTGAATGCAAATTTCATTTTTTTAGGGTCAACACAACATACTATGAACAATAATATCCGTTTTTTTCCTCTTATCATCGATTTTTTCATCATCATTTTTGTTTTGTATGAATTTCCCACACTAATTTTTTTGCCATCAAATTATTTCGCATCCTCTATTCCTCTATCATCATAGGTATCGGCATAAAAAAAACATAGTGAAAAAACAAAGATAGAAAACAAAACAAACACTCGAACAAATAAACGGAGAAATCAAATATCGTTTAATTATCACTTTTTTTTGTCATTTTGTCGATGTATAAATAATAAAGAAGGCATAAATTTTCTGTTTGAATTGCCGAATAGGTAAAATACATATTTTCTCAATGGCTCTTTCTTTTCGATTCCGAAACCAAGATTTGTTTACATATGGATCTTTCGAGTATTGTATAGATAGGCAATTGGTCTTTTTATTGGTGTATGTATTAATGCGACATTTGCTGGTCTGTGATTTAGCATATGAAATTTTTTCTCAATCAAGATTTTATGATAAAAATTCGATTTGATTTAATTTTTTTATATCAGTACTAAGAGGGTAATTGGATATTACCTCACGATAAAAAAATGATGATGAATTGTCAATGTTTTTTATTTATTTATCAAATTCATCATCATTATCTTTGCATAATATAATCCGTACAAAGTCGGTTTTTTCTCCTATTGAAATGTTAACAAAAAAACTCAAGCCAGTTTTACCGCGACAGGTACATTTGGTATGGTGGTTGGTTGCTTGGTTGTGATGTTTAGATTTAGCCGAAAAAAACAAGTGTTGTAGATACGAATGTACAAAACCAAAGTGAAAAAGGAAAAAAATAATCATCGCAATGCAATCCAAATAAAATCAAACATGACTTCCAACAATATATAAATATTCTATGCTGTCATAGTTGCCGAATCGTAAATGTTCTCTAGGTATAGAGGGTTAGAAACCTTAAAAAAAGAAAAACAAAGAAAAATAACCATCTTGCCGACAAATCAAAAAGCCGCACTAGCTACATAGGTGAAACAAAAACAATAACAAACAACAACAATAAAAATTGCAAGAATAGATTTTCGCTATTGTTGTTGTTTGAAAGATATTTTTCGAAAAAAGAATCGATCGCGAGTTAAATCTTAAAATCATTCAAGCTAAGGTTACTATCAGGTTTAGGTAAACGTAATGATTTTATGACACCCGACGATGATTTTGAGAATCATCATCAATCTATATGTAATAATAATAAGTATGATGAATTTTGTCGCCAACCAACAAAAAAAAAAGTAAAATATATTAGATAAATAGAAAATTTCTGGCTTCTGAATAATCAATTTGTTTGCATTTCTCTGTTTCTAACTGTCTACTTTTTTTTCTGTTTGTAATGCTATTTTTTTCTCATTACTGTATAACATATACACGGATTTGTTATCTTGATTTTGTTTTTTTTTTCACGGAGAATACTGCATTGTTTGTTAAAGATAGTGTCGGCGACAGCCATATAAGAATTGTAAGCCAATTTATTTTTTATTTTGATTGCAATTGGATTTGTTGTTTTTTCTTTCTTGGTTTGACCAAAGATCGGATTGAATTGAGATGTTTTTTTCTTGTTAATGTAAATAAGACCAAATAAGATGAAATTGATGATTATAATCGTTTTTTTTATTTTGCTTAAATTTTATTTTATGGCCATTAATGCTTTTTATTCCTGTATGGTGTTTTTTCGAGAATATCGATGAATTTTTTTGTGAGCAAGAAAAAGATTGGCTTGAAAAATCAATTGAATTTGTTTTCATGATAAAAATATTATTACAGGTATAAAATTCATTATAAATGACAATGAATTAAGTGATCATATAAAAAAAATCATTAAAATCATTGTTTTTCATTTATTCATATTGTCCAGCTAAATGAATCTATTCATTTATCACAATATGAAAATTTTTTGAAGGGACCACACACACACATGCTTTCACATATTAGCAATTTGGTCTACCATTACAAAATTTGAATGAAAAAAAACAATTATCAATTGATCTATGATGTTTATTGTTATGCAATTAAATTTGGATTTTTTCAATTGAATAATTTCAATTTCATTGAAATATTACATGATACATGGAAGCAAATGATGGAAAAATGATTGAAAGACATTGCCAAGAAGAGAAAAATTATCAGTGAAAAGCAATTTATTTTTATAATAATAAGTAATAATTTGCAAAAACAAACAAATGAATATTTCACATAGGTAGATTACTATTACCTTTACTAGCGCACACACATTGACAACTAGTAATATAACCTAAAGTTTCTTGTAGAATATGATGAAATAAAACAAGAAAGAAAACCGAGCAACAGAATAAAATCATCGGCACCCAAGTCGGCTTTTTTGTTTTTGTTGTTGTCGATTATGGTTTATGTTTGTTTGTTTACCTGTATGTCCTTGTTGCTATGCCTTGACTATGATGATGATGATGATGATGATGAAAATACTGTTTTATGACCAATATCAATATTGAATAATTACATTTTAGCAATCATCATCAACAACAACAAATAATGATGATAAAAGTTGTTGTTGTTCTAAAGCTATTTGAGGTTTGTTTTTATTTTATTATTATTTTACTTTTCACCGGTGTTTGTTTATATTTTATTATTGAGGGAAAAAATTCATAACTAATAATAATCATAAATGGTGTTGATGGTGGTTGTGGTAATAATTGCGTTTTAATTTAATTTTTTTTCTCTTCTCTTCGTTAGATTACTTTATGGCCATCATTATCTTTATCATCGATGATGATGATGATGATGATGAAATCACCAAATAGTTAAAGAGAAAAAAATTCTATGAAATATGAATCAATTTTGTTAGTATGAATATCTGCTATTTCCGATGCAAACTATTGAATTTTTTATTTTCTGAAAAAAATATACCGGAATCATGGTAAAAAAAATTTACAAATTAAGTTTTGTTCAAGATAAATTAGATTTGTGTAGGAAAACTACATACAACCATACGTGAAATATAACTTGTTTCTGATTTATGATGAAAAAAGGTGTGTGTTTTGTATTCTTTTTTTAAATTATTGTTTTTTTCACAAAACTTAAGTTGATTCAAATTTCGATATCATGCGAAAAATAAATAGAAATGAATGTAAAAATAAAACCAACTAACCTTTGAATTTGTTCAAAGAAAAAAAACAGTTGGTGAAATTCAAATTTATTCTTCTCTTTTCGTCCAATATTCAAATTTCAATGGTTCAATTTGTCTTCGTCATCCGGTTAATTATCAATTTGACATTTCATTCACCAATCAATCAATCAATCAATTATTCTAATAGTCGTAATTTGAATAAAATTTAATGCAAACGATATCACAACACAAACACAGAACGAATTTTGCATAATTGCTTAACCTTTAGACAATACGCGATTTGTTTTACAAATGGCAATATGGCACATTGTTGATTACGGATTCAGATCAAGCTGCTACATCAAATGAGACATTAAAGAATCTGAATACTATTCGTAGGAGTTGATTTGATGAATAATCCATGACATAAAATGAATGAGATCCAGCAAAAATATATGATTTTTTATTCGTTGAAGTCAGATATTTCAAGATTTTTTTAAAGTAAACAAAAATAAATATAAAATAATCTGTTTTTTGATTCAATATGATTCAAAAATCGATGGAAGGTTTGCAAAAAAAATTTTCTTCTTTCATAAACATTATTAGATTGAATGAAAATTCCAATTTTTCAAATGTTCACAAGTTCATTCGCAATTTGAAACTGTAATGAAAAAGCAACCCACGTTGTTGATGATGATAATGATAATAACGATGATGATCTTTGTCTGTTTTTGTTGTTGTTGTAAGGTTGTTACTATCGTTGATGATTGGTGTATGTTTTTGACGGTCAATATCAATAATATGTTGTATAGTATGAACCGTAGTGTGGTATATGTTTGTTTAATAAACAAACTCAAATGAATAATCTCATTTTTCGTTTTCGTTATTCTCATTCACGTTTGTATATGCTTGAATGGTTTGATTGGGACACACACACACATAATATGTACTCGGATACACGAATATAAATTGCACGAAGAGATCATCAGAAAAAAACCATGTAAACACGAATTTTTTTTCCAGAAAAAAAAACAATAAAAATTTTTGAATAATTTGTAGATTCTTGGGCGAACAACAAAAAAAACTTGATTAATATTATTGAATGCAAAATTTCAATTCGAAGAAAAATCAACAAATAATAATGTATAATCTCCAATGTACAATATGATTTTTTTGATGGCTATTGTATCAGATGGTTGTTTGTTATGATGATAATAAAATCATCCAGCATACTGTATATCTCCATATAGTCATAACAGCCGCAAAAAAACCAATCATTATCCATTCATGCAGCCGTCACATAATAGAGAAGATGATGTTGATGATGAAAAAAAATGAAATCATCTTATTGAGCATCCACATGTATGCACACAAATATCAAAGCATCCAAAATATATCTAGCCATTCATATGTGAAGAGTTTTCTGTCTGTCTCTTTCATTATTACACACACACTTACATATCCTCAACCGACTACAGTAGAAATACAAGCATCACATACACACAATGTAATCAACTGCGATTCCAAAAGATAGCGTCTATGTATGTGTGTTTGTGTACTTACTCAATTGATGACGCCTTCTTTTTTTTCATTTAGATTTGCTCCTCTTGTTTCGTAACTGGTTGCTTGTTTGGTTGTTGGATCTTGCTTGTTATTTTGCATGTATTTCTCTTACTCTGTTTGTGTGTGTGTGTATGTATGAAAGCAATGCTCCCGCTTTTATATTTTTTTCTAGTTCCTCCTGGTTACCTTAATATTATTGGTTCTTCAACATCATCAATTTATGGCGCCTGGATATGCTACTACTGCTGATGATGATGACTATGCAATAGATCTACAAGCTTTAGCCATTCAATTTTTTTTTATCTTTTTCTCTTTTAATCTTTGAATTTGTGTTTTCCATCAACAATAATGACAACTGCGTTAGCATTTTTAAACAATAGTTCCAGTAGATGCTGATGATCAATATGATATTCACAGAAGCGCTGCATCTGCGCTACAGTTGTAAGTATCTATTCACATGCATTATTTACGGTAGCGGTACAGTTGAATTTGCTACCGCCACTCGAGATGCTCTTTCTTATATTCAAGATCCAGTTTATGTGGCGTATGTGTGTGCACACAAAATAGACAAATGTGCAGTAAAACTAAACATCAATCGACCAACCGAAATGCTTCTGAAGAGAAGCCCGGCCCAATCATTCAGATTTATTGCCTTACTATTGGTCAATCAATAATTGTTGTAGGCGTGTTTTCATTTATTCTTACTGTTTTTTAAATAATACTCTTTTTCGAGACAGCAGTAGTATTTTACATTTTATTTATCTTTTCATGTAAAATTCGGTAAATATTTTATACCCGACAAAAGAAAAATAAAATGGTAGTTATCCAACTAGTATCGTGTTCGGGTAATCTTCTACTTCTTGTTCTGTTTTCTTAATATAATTTTTTCTAATCTATTCTTCGCTTCAAAGACATTCGGTTCAAACAAGAGAAAGGAAAAAAAATTTCGATCAGGCGTCAGGCGCGCTTCTGGTTTGAATTTGAATAGGATATCATTATGATATAATGATTATAATAGTAATCTTACGAATGTTTCAATGATCACAATCCATATGATGTATTTGATGATTGATTTTTAAGTAGAAAAAAATTGTCATAACAATCAATACCAATTATAAATAAAATTCTTTTGTAAATATAAAAGTTCAGGTTCAATGTATTATTGGTTGGATTTCTAGAGATTGAATTTATCTCAAAAAATAAGGAAAATTCCCTCTTGATAGGTTAATGACAACAAATGAGACATTAGATATTTTTCATACAAGAAAATCACGAAGAAAAAAATATGAAAAATTTACGTAATCATAATTTCTTAGTGTATGAAGTATTAGTGGGATTATCATGAGAAGAATAAACAGAAAAAATTATAAATTCGCCATAAATTATATGTTTATTATATGTCACAAATCCGGTTGACATTTTTGTTTTCAGTTCTTCTTCTCCATCATCATCATCATCATAATTCGTATAATTTTTTTTGGTCATTTTCCTTCACTATGAATTTTTAAATCATCAGTAAGCTTGCTTGATCATATTTGTGTGTGTGTAAATGTCATTACCATACTGATGATACAATTAATTATTTGAAGCTTCTTGTTCACTCATAAAGAAAGAAAAAATAAAATAAAATTTCAAGCTATATTGATGTTGATGACAGCGGGGCGACAGAAGCTTGAATGAATATTTTTTTTTCATTTGCTTCAGGTTTGTTATTCATAAAGTCTAAAAGATTTGACAATGACAGGCCACATAAGACAAATGGATATCGTGTGTGCATGGTATCGGGATGGCGCCTATACATTTCGTTTTTGCTATGGAATTTTGCAAGAAAAAAAAATTCAATGCTCTCATTTTCCGATCATCGAATGCGTGGATGATCAATTCGCAAATGATGAATTTATCTTTTTTTTTCCAAATATACATAGGTTAAATTAGTTTTGTGAAACTTTTTGCCGAATTTTTTTTCGATCATTGATCCTGGGATCATAATTTCTAGCGTCGGCGTCGATGTCATCGCCATCATTTAAAAAAGCAAATAGTCAACTAATCTCAAAATTATTTTCCTTAAGTATAGTAATAGACTTAGCAGAAAATAAATAAATAAAATCCATTTAATTTCCTTAAAAATTCACATTTAAATCTCCCTAACATTTATATTGCACTTATCATAATGATGACAGGATGTTTATGATTTGAAACGGAACTAAATTTTTGTCATTTTTTTCTGTCTAGGATATTTTGCATCCTAGATACAACAAATTGAATCCTAACCAGAAAAACAAAAACGAAAGTGGGCTTCGGTTTCCAGTTTTTTTGTTGTTGTTGTTGATTGGTTACGGTCCAAAGTATGTATTTATTAAACATATAACATCAGCGGCTGTTTTCATCTCTTACATCACTATCAACAATATAGCTAAAGGCCTTTGATCTAACCAACGATGGAGAAAAAAATCAGATGAAAAGGTATCTTTTTTTACCACATACTCAACATCAACAGAAAAATATATTAATAAGACCGACATAACAACCACACAAAATCAAGTCAACCCAAAAAAAAAGATTGACGGCCAAATCCATAATTAATTGCATTGAAAACAATCTTATGTAAATAAGATAAAACCACCGGCATCGGCATTGACTTGATCAACTAAGCTAAAGTCATACCGATCTGAACAGCAACAACAATGACAGCCAAAAAAAAAATTGATCAACAGAAAAATTCAATTGCGGCATTGCGCAAAGTAAATCTAAATAAATATGCTTGCGTGTCGTATATTTATTTGGTCTTATCGAAATTAAAAATCCATCGTTGTCCAATCAAATGTATATTATGATTCGGTTTTAGGGTCGTCATCATCATCAGCTCGTAATTTTTCACAGAAAACATCAAATCAACTTACAATAAAGCACGTCGCCAAATAATCAAAGAACAGTGTTTGAAAAATTTTTTTATTCATTTTTCTATCAAATGAAAATGTTCCTTTTTTCCATATTTATTTCATTTGATGTCTTGCCGATATTCGGTTATTTTCAATCAACATCATTTTTTTCATTTGTTAAATATATGCAAGTTTTTTTTCTATTAGTATAATTTGCCGCCATCATAGCAACGATATATGTATTTGAGAATATTTAAAACATTTTTTTATAGGAAGCCATTTGTACCTGCTAATCCTTTAGCTCATAATCATATAACAATTGATTTTCATTATATTTAAGTGAACAACGCCCATAAGAATAATATCCAAGAATCTGTAATGATCCTTGATATTTATGATTAGTAGATTGAATAAATAGATGAAATCTCTTCACTTGCACACAGACACATTCATTGATCAGAAACAGAAATTATCAGATTAATCAGACAGCAAAGTAGAAAGAAATATTATGATTGATGATTTAAAATCACGATGATTGGCGACATTTTTTTTGTTTAATTTTTTTTTCTATCGGTGTGTTTAGTTTTCTCATTTATTTGTCGTCCTACATCAGTTTGGTAGATCGATAGATCAACAATAATGTTGATAATTTATCATTGATTTCACTGAACCAACAAATATAAAATATATATGATTGGGCGTTTACCTTATGTACATACATAAGCACACACGGCAAACAAGTACACAACA